TAATTAAATTTCTTTTAGTTTTGATTGTGTGTGTGTGTGTGTGTGTGTGTGTGTGTGTGTGTGTGTGTGTGTGTGTGTGTGTGTGTGTGTGTGTGTGTGTGTGTGTGTGTGTGTGTGTGTGTGTGTGTGTGTGTGTGTGTGTCTGGTACCAGTTTTGTATTAATCCATAAAAGCTATGTTTGTTCATAGAAAGTAAACATTTTGTTTAAAAAAGTTGAGGGTTACTGTTGTCAGACAGAAAATGAAAAACTGTAGTGGACAACTGATCAAATACATGTCCTGCATTACCTAAACAGGTCCTTATTGATTCTTCACACTTGTTGAGTGATGGTGATATAAAAGAAGCATTAAGCACAGTGTTAGAAAATGGGGATGCAGAACATGTGACCAGCTTAATTAGGAGACACGCTAAACAGTTGAACCTGTGCATAGGAAAGAGACAGCCCATCATACTTATACTTGACAAGGTAATTTACCATTCTCATATTTTAAATTTTTAAATATAAACCATAAAGAAAAAAATATGTTTGCCATATACTACTTTTGTTATTGTTGTTTCAATGATATCCTCACACTCCTTCACAAACAATCTTATTTAGAATAGGAGAAATGAATAAACTGAGGTAAATTGCTGCCCTTTTACCCTCACTTACCATGTGTTATGATCTTATTGCCAGATGCTCCAGCATTTTCCCTTTGAGAGTCTCCCCATGTTAAGATCTCACCCAGTGACTCGCCTTCCGTCCTTGCACTTACTGGGAGCCTTCCTCAGCAGTATTGAGAGCAATAAGGAGTCTGTCTTGAATGAGGGGATTGACCCAGAGAAGACCTACTATATTCTCAATCCAGGCAATGATTTACCTCATACCCAAAAGCATTTTGAAGATTGGTTTGAGGGGTAAGTTTCCATTAATGGTTTGTGTGATCTGTTTGTTGCTTGCATCTTCTTACATTTTTAAGTTTGAGTTCTACTTACAGACTGACTTATATATGAATATTTTGAAGTGCGATTCCATAAGCCAACTTTGACCAAGAATATTTTAAACATTATCTTTGTTTTTTGACTCTGTGTTTTATGACTGATAGAAGAGGGTTAACCTGTGTTACTGCAATAATGAAGATGTTTTACAACGCTCATTTAAAGCTTAGACTTGTATCATTCTCACAGGAGTAGAATAATTTATTTTAAGCATGATGTGCACAATTTTTTTCTGAAATTTTACACCCTTTATTGTATTGGGGCTCATGATGATGTCTCAAGGGTGTGCTGTAGGCCTCTGGCATATGTTTCAATTTCATCACTTGAAGTCAAGAAACAATATTTCCTCCCTTGGACAAGCTGTAATTTTGTTGTTGATCGTTTTGCACTGGCTTTAAAAAAATCCCTGAGATGAAATATATTACCTTCAATATTGGAATTGCGATAGTTTAAGGTCTGTTTAATGCTCTGAATTTTGTTATTCTCTAAAATTGCAGTTCCATTAAAATATAAGTAAATTCTATAGACTTTTTAATATGTGTATTATATTTTTCATTTCTTGTAGTGAAAAGACTTGGAGGGGTGTAGTTGGCAAAACACCAACATCAGACCAATATAAGGAAGCTTTGACTAAACCAGACCTCTTCATGTGAGTCAAAGTATTACCTTTTAAGACAGTTGAATTATCTGAAACACTGATATTAAAACAATAAAAAGAACCCCAAGTAAAAGTTGTTTGGCACCATTAGTAGTTTGGAAAAATGCTATTTTAAAATGCTCATACATATTAAATTAAAGTTTGCCTGTGTTATGATTAATGGCATATATTAATGGCATATTTCAAACGTTTGTAACGATTATCTCAAATTAATATTAAATAAGTTTATGTATCTCCCTTCAGCTATTGTGGTCATGGGACAGGAAGTAAATATCTCCATGGCGACAACATACAAAACCTCCAGTGCCGTCCTGCAGTGCTACTGATGGGGTGTAGTAGTGGTAGACTGAACAACATAGGGGCACTGGACCCAGCTGGGATGATACTCAGTTATTTCATGGCTGGATGGTAATGAAAACCTTTTGTGACATGAAAACATTTTGTATTTTCAAGAGGAGTGTTCCCTATAGAGGGTTCTTTTTTATTTTTATTTTTTTCTCTTGCTATGATCAGTGAAACTGATGTCTTAAATCTTTACCTGGATAAGTGCAACACAAATATAAAAGAAAATCCATTCAAGATTTGTAAAAACATACTTACATTTAAAGCTGTAAAACAGATCAAAGACTATTGTCAGGATACGTATATTGGTTGTGCATGAAACTTAAGTTAACAAAAGGGTTGTTTCTTAAGTTGCATTTCTTTTGCAGTCCATGTATAGTTGCCAACCTGTGGGATGTAACAGACAGAGACATTGACCGTTTCCTGGAAAACCTGCTCAAGGCCTGGTTACCTGGAGAGAGTGATCCCATGCTCTTGGAACACATTGAACAAGCCAGGGACAGCTGTAGGCTGCCACACATCATAGGGGCAGCACCTGTGGTGTATGGACTGCCTGTAGCATTGACTATGAAATAGCAATAATTACGTCCATCCAACCTCTATTGAATCTTAGGATATTGGTGAGGTGCATTGAATTCAGTGTGCAATTTTACTGTGGATAGTCAAAGAAAACAAGAGCCATTGTAGAGGTGATATTCCACCATGGTTTGCCCAGCAACAATGATAAAAATTGTGTGTGGTACATCAGTCCTATGACAAGGAAGTCTTGGATACTTTAGAAAACATAATATTATGCACATTCATAATTGATGATTAAGAGTAGATATGCTAAATATTTCAGGTGGAAGAAAAATTAGTTTTTGTTTTTCATTCAGTAAGGATTTCTCAAATTCATTGATAGCTCATTCAGTATTAATGATGAAGTGTAGAAATGCTTAATATCTCAGGTGGATAAAAATGAGATTATCAGTATTTTTTTCTCCATTCAGTAAGAATCTGTCAAATTCAGAGATCAATGCTGTTTAGGTTTTGAGATATACAAAAGAGAGATTAATGTATTGAGCCTATTCACGTGCTGGCAGTAATTGGGCAGCTTGTCAAAGATGAACCAAGCATGAATGCAGCTTAGTCTGGAACACTTCTTGTGCCTAGGTTTACATTGGGTTCTGGATTATTTCAAATCTGTTACAACTGGTTATTATTTGCTTATTGTAGCAGTATCTACCAGTCTGACTGATGAGAAGGTTAATGTTGTTTTGGAGATTATATTGGGTCACTTTATTAAAATAAGCTCTTGGAATCCTTATTAGGTGGTTTATTTTTCATTAAACAATAGAAAAGGTGAATTCAAATAAATATCTTGTTAGTGATGTGTTGAAAATACAGCGTCAGTCTTTGTGATTTGTCATGAAATTTGAAAGGGACAGTAATGCCAGTGAATTAAACGATATCTTTTAATATCCTGTAAAAGTTTTTCTTATCAGAATAATTCTGTTACCTTTGGCTAAGTAGCACTTTGCCTCCTCAAGGAACATTTCTTCAGATAGAAAGTAATTTATATGGCATGTTGCCCTTTTGGGATCTAATAAATGTTCTTGCAACGACTTCATTCTTGACAAAATATTGAGTAAAACTCCTGCTGAATAATTTTATTACGTTAAATCAATTTGGCATGTGTCAATAAATGTGTAATTTCTCAAATGTTTCAAAGCAGTCCCTTTATAATAGAAGCATCTTAATTCAGGAATGGGGAATTGGTAATGGTGGGGTTATTTGAATAGTTTAGTAATCTTATGTGAGTAGATTGATGATAATTCAATTTTATCGATATCACATGTTTGTAGAAATTAGAATGTTTGTAATCTTGTTATACGAAAAGTTATGTAAGATTTATTTTTAAATGATATCAAATGTTTGTTTTCAGTAGAACCCATAAGATAGCATAAAATGGGATAGTTGGTGTTACAACCTGGGATAATTTGACGAATAAATACTCGAATTGTTATTGTCTTTTCAACTTTCTGTTCATGCTTCATTTTTCACTAACCGTGGAATAAATTTGTACCATTAGAATTTCAATCAATTACTTAGCCATAGCAATGATTATGGTTGGAGGCAATTTGCATGAGAGTGAGATTTATGTTATTTTTTTGATTTCATCAGATTAAAAAAAAACTTGATACAAACTGGTCATTAAATGAACAAATGTGCAAGATTTTTTCCAGAGTTCAACAAAAACTGACCTTCAGTTGGGGATAATCTGGATAAGCTGGTTATGATAGGTGTGCATTTTTTTTTACGTTTAAAATTTAAAGTGAAATTCACTGTCTGTGGTCATCATTATACTATAACATTTTATGCCCACGACATATCCAATAGAAATAATTAAAAATTTGAAGCTTGTGTAGATCTCAAATTGTCTAGATAAAAATTTGAAAAAGTGAGTTTTTGTTAAACGAACAATAACAAGGAGAAATTAGTTTCAGAAACTAAGACTAATGAATCATCTTATGGGAATTGCAGCAGAAAGTATTGGGAAAAGGGGGACCTGTTCATCTGGAAATATGGTTATTTTGAAAATATGATGAAGTGCCATCTCTGGAGACAGGAGGATGATTAGTGTTTAATGATAACATCTGTTTTTTATGGAGTTTTTTTTTTTTTTTTGTTGACTATTGTGCCAGAGTGCTTTATTTTACCAACTGGAAAAAAATCATTTTGACATGTCTGTGTATTAAAAAGTGCTGCTAGGTGAAGTCATTTATAAAATTAATCCTAACTGTAAAAAGTACTGACTCTTATAAGAGGTTAGATGATTTATATCCAGATTATAAAGCACAACCTGGTCATGCATGATTGATTGTCCAATATTCTCCGTGTAGGCTCATTTTGTGGGTTCCTATAATATAGTGTGATAGATGAGACATCCCACAGGTATAGCAGTCAGACTAACTTGATATTAGTATTCAAGGACCATTCCACACTACTTTTACCACCCAATACTTCTTTCCTGTTATGATTTTATTCATTTACTTAGCTTTTTTTTCATTTCAAATTCTATCAGTTAAGTCAGTTTTTAGGATTGCAGGCTTTTTTAAGTTGTCTTTTTTTCATAAGATGGAAACATTTATTAACTCGATTTAAGTTTTTCCACAGGGTACACGTTATGGAGGAGGGAGGGGGGGGAGAGAGAGAGCACTGTGGGATGGCCCAAAATCTAAATTAAATAGACTTGGTAACCAAACCACCCAACTCTAAAGACAAACACATGTCACTGCCATGTTGGTTTCATTTCCTGGATAATTTGTAAGTAAACTTGTATTGTGCATGTTTCCATAATTACAACTACAAATTATTTGTTTGCTTCTGACAGGTTGGCATTGGCAGGAACAGTTATGTCATTTTCAATCATTAGGAATAGTTGTAAAATAATATCCTTCCTAAAGCCTTCATATTGTTTGTTTTTGACAACTTGGCAGTAGTTTGAGTGCTTAGACTTGGCTGTTTTGATCAATTTCCTAGATTTGACCTGCTTGAGGCCATGAACTAACATTTGGTTGTTCGAAGTGGACAGGCTTTTATGTAGCAGATAAATCCCAGTTTGAGGAATTAAATCAAAAGGAAAATGAAATGCCAGCTAACTGCCTGGTTGAGTTTCTTTTATTATCTACCATGCCTGACAACTTCTTACTGCTTTTACTGTATGCTTGACATATTGTCCATGTAAGGTATCAATTGTTCTACTTGTGAAAAACCACATATTAGAACTCATGGGGATTTTCTTTATAGATTATTCATACCACTTTAAGTGGTATCATTCAATATGGAGTGTATAATTTTAGCCACTTATTACTGCAATTCCAGCGTAACTGAGTAACCTACAGATGGAGCTACTATCAAATATTTCAGCTCCCACGACACAAACTAAAACCAATTGTGATTGTTTTGTTGATTTTACGATAAGTTCACATTATCCTATTTTGTCTTTTTTTCTCTCATTTCGCTACCGTTTGCCAAATCACATGCAGTATGTTTATTTCTAGTACATCATTTTTTTTCAGAGCATGTATAGTATCTCTCCCTGCATTAAAACAAATTATCTGATATGTGGCATTAAATCTAAAGCCTGCTAATCCTGTATTTTAGATTGAGCAGCACTTACCATAAATTAAATGTTTTTCACATCAGATAGAGAATGCTTTTTATATTTATTAAGTGACAGATGGTTGTGACCACTGGGATAGAGAAAGTCTGCATCTTTCTAAAACTGTGATGCTTATATTATTTCTCCAGGGAGTCCATGTATTTACATGGTTTGAAGGTTGACTAGATCTAATTTGATATTGGAATAACTTTTTAATGCACACAGTATAAAGATTCTAAAATTGTGTATCAAGACTTCATATTTTCTAGTCCCTATTTCTATAATCTTGGTACAGTTTATAAACCCAGATATAACTGTCACATTAAAATTATGGGACTATCAAAGCTAATATTGTATAATACATATGATCAAATATATCTCAGAAATTTTTGAGAGAAGGGTGGCGTGTCAGAAATGGTAAATTTAAAATTGCAAACACTTGTTTTTGCTAAGTGCAGATCTATTTTTTAACAATGGAATAACACAGTAAACCTCACCTGAAAATATAAGTTGTCAAAAATGCTTAAAATATATGAAGACCACATGCTTATTATTGACAACTCTGATTATACATAATTCAAAATATTTGTAGCCTCGGTTAATTTATTGTGAAAAGGTATATGTGAATACAATATAAGATGACCTCCATAAGCAATGTTTTCTGAGTGAGCACTGAGTATCTATATAATGTTCAACTCCAGTTTCCTACAGCTATTGTAATTTATCTTATACCTTAAGCTAGGATATCATCATATTGATTTTTTTTTGTGAAAATTGTTGTCAAGGTTACAGAGAAGGTTTAATTGATATCACAGCAGTTTAATCAAATTAGCTTAAATTAAGATGAACATTGTAAATCTAAGGTCAGCTTTATCTTATGTTAATGTGATTGATGTCAAAACAAAACCACAAAATGATTTTGATATTTTTAATCAATATTCATATTGTAAATGCTTTCAACAGCTAGCCTCTGACAGATGTATATCTGATGTAAATGTGATTTTTTAAATCAAACTTCAAATTTCTCACTATTAGTTAAATATTAGTACTATTCATAGAAGGAATTTCGTGATGTACCGATACGTCCCATATAATGATGCTACATAGAATACACAACTACTCTATACCAGAGGCCATCTGAGTGATGACATTAATTCCATACAATAATTCTCACTGGACAGGGAAGAGAAAAAGTGAAGAATAAGCTAGAGTCATATGTGAATATCTAGTGAAAAATCAATCAGTGGCCCTGGTGGAGGGTACATAACTATATCCGGAGGGGTTTAATTTTGTAAGGTTTTCACGTAACGGGTATATTTTGTAATGTATTGAGCACCCTTCAACAGTTTCCATCATGCAGTGAAGCACACACACACACACACACACACACACACACACACACACACACACACACACACGTGCATGCTCACATTCACCTGTGGGTGGTCCAAGCCAGCAATACACATTAATTTGATTTTAATGACACACCAATTTTGAAAGCCTCTGTCACCCCAGGGTATAGGTGAAACATGCAGGTGTGCTGCCTTGGTATCACTTACAACAAATTTAATACGTGTTATCAGAATCCTGATTTTAACAAATTAAGAAAAACAATTAAATCTGTTTAAAATGTTTACATAAGTAAGTTTTACCGATAAGCACTGTGCAGTGACTTTGAGAGTAGTATTACTTTCAAATATTAGAAGGTGCCGTGAAAGAGAGTACATGTAAATAATGGGTCGCTTTGCACAGGTAGTTGATTCATGACAGTGAAATTCATCTCACTAAAAGCCAATGGGCAGATTCCCCACTGTGTTCAGGTCTTTTTCCTTGCTAATTAAATCTCAGTTGGATCAACGTGAATATGGGGTCTTGTCTGCAAGAAAGAGGTTGGTCGATTATACTGATGGCATTTGAAGTTCGGCTTAATGTAATAAAACCTCATCTGGCCCTATTTTTTTCTGTAGAATCAGCATGCATTGGACATTCATCTTCATGTTTGCTAGAAAATAATGGTTTTTTAGTAGTAAGTTGTGGATTGAAGGGTTGTCAGGACACAATTGAGGAATGCGCTGTTATACATCAATATTGTCAGGGATGTGTTTAGAAAGAGGAGTGGGGGGTTTAAGAAGAGACAGAGAGGAAGCTTTCAAAGTTTACACAAAATTAATTTCTAGGACATACTTAGTATGTTATTTGTTTTCCATTCTCTCTTTCTCTCTCCCTCAGTGTTTTGTTGAGAATAATAATGTTTTAAGATTTTAATTGTTAGTGCTTAATAATAATATCAAATTATTTTTAAAACGTGAATCAGATTTTTTTTTTTGAAAAGATCTGACATTAATATCACTATTGGCACTATTACATATTACAACTTGAAGTAAGATTGGAGATAATTTCTGGAATAAACACAAGAGGTGACAATGTTTGAACACTTCAAAGGCAAAAAGTAAAGATTTATGTTCACTAAATAAAGAGCACACAGACATGTGATAGTTCTCATCATTTAATGCTTCAGTTTTGCACTGATAGGTGGTAGTTATTAGCTTCCAGTAAATGATTAATGGCAACAGAAACTGCAAATTTCTCACCATTAGTTAACATTAGTGCTATTGATGGAAGCATGGATGTGAATGCTCATATCCCGGGATGATGCTACACAGAATACATAACTAACCCAACTCCAACTTAGGCAATAACATTAATTGATCACAAATGCAGTTTTCTAGAGATTATTGGCTCTTTTTCCTCATTCTTGGATGTGAATGCCCAGTGCTGCCTGAGAAATCCTAGCCCAGTGAAGTAATGTGATTGGTCCACATTTTCACTGCCGCCTGCCTGGTGAATGGACTCTTCCAGAGTGATTGTTATTTCAATCTCATGTTGATCTTCTGAGTAGTTTATTAGGAGAGGTTTTACATTTTGGGGGCACTAGTGAGAGAGTGTACCTCTTCAGACGTGATACCAAAGTGTTTGGATATAGTGTTTTTTATAAGCAAAGATTTGAAAAAAGCAGATCTGCTAGTGTCTATTTAATTTTTTTTACCTTGGACCAAGTTAAGTTACTCAAGTAACTTAGGAAGAAGGCTGTTAATTATAACTTCACAACTAATGACAAGATACATTCATCAACACCACGCAGAGGGGAAAATACTCAACAGGAGAACAATTTTGATTAACATATTTTTCAGCTTTTAGTGCCAAAACTCATTAGGGAATTGTTACCCCCATTCCCTCATGGAAAAAACATCTTTGCTGGAGTGATGGGATCTTTCTAACACAGTGTGCTGAATGCTTGGATTTTTTTTACCAGACAGTTTGCCAGATGAGTATTTTTAAGAGCAAGGACTTGGATTCAGACAGTATGGAAGAGACAGGCTACCACTGCTGCAGTACCTCATGTAGGGACAGGGCAAGGGTAATGGCAACCCCTATAAGTCTCCTCTGGACATTACTGTCTATGCTAGTGGCAGCATCTTGTGCTTTCAGTTTCATGCAACCCTACTGGATTATTGACTTTGAGCAATGGAACAGTTTTGGAATTTACAGTTTTTGTTATCAAGAAAACCACAGCCCTGACAGGACAGTTCATCATCACCACTGCCGGATATATGGTGGACATTTTGACTTTTCTTTCTTCCCCTCAAGTGCTTGGCAGGCCTCCTGCGTGTTATTTGGAGGGGGGTGCGCCTTCCTGTGTTTTGCTGCAATATTAGCCATAACTAGCCTGTGTCTCCCTTCTGCCTGTGATAAAAAAGTGGCCCTCAGCGCTGGGTACATGCAGCTTGTTGCAGGTAAAAGAATATAATTCATAATAATACCCATGGGTAATGGGTCCCCATTTATTCCTGTTAGTATTCATTTTCTGCTTTTATGAGATAAAAAAGGCAATTCCACAATCTGTTGTTTGCAGTTTCCTGTGCTGTAATGACTTGGCCATTAAAATTGGGCTTTTGATAGTTTCTATGGGTTTATGTTACCTATTAATTTTAAGACATATCTCCAAAATGTTGGCAACATATCTGAACGCGTACTGGTGGCTTAGGGCGGATATATCTACTTGTGTAAGTGAAGTGGTCAACAACACGAACCATGAACATGTGTCTTCTGTGTGTCACATTAGTTCGGGCTGGGCGTCATTTAAAATCAAAGAACAGGTAAAATAGCCAGTGTGAAACCCAATGCTTGTCTTACACACCTGGGTGGGCAAGGCAAAGACGGAACAACAATCTTCTCCATCTTTAGAACTTAGATTTCAGCTGCTATCTGTCCACTCATCTCATTGCATCTATCTTAATGGGGATCTCCATCAAGTTTCTCTTTAGAATCCCCCGCTGGCTTGAGATTGATCAGTAAGACAAATTTAATGTGTGTGTGTGTTGGAGGGGGGGGGAGCACATTTTGTAATGGGCCTTTCTCTCTCTAATTTTGATATTGATGTTTCTAGATTGCTGCCTGAATGTCTCTTCTTTTTATGTTTTTTTTTTCTAGAAATTGATCCATTAAAAGGTGTGTTGTGTGTGTGTTTGTGTGTGTGTGTGTGTTGGTTGGGGGGGGGTGTAATTGCAAAAATACATCTGGCTGTTTTTGTGAACTTGGTTGGACTGTATCAATTTGATTGATTGATATATCTCGCGAATTGCCGTTGGATGTCATATGCTAGCAAACCAATTTACAAGTTCAATGAATTTCTGCGTCTTTTTCTGCCCAGTGAGATGGAGGGGTCATAAAATCTGTTTTTATGGGGTTTACATAAAAAAGGCAGTATCAATTTATGTGAGTTCTGATGTTGAATAATCACTTAGATCCTCCATGCCAGGTTAAATTAACTGAGGGTGGATTTGATATGGAAGCGAAAAATCCAGTATGAGACCCATGTCTATATATACCTATGCATGGGTTGGTTGACATACTATAATTACATATATACTGAACACTTGACAAGTTAAACACTGTTCACACAGTCTCAAATAGCACTGAGTAATACATAGGTGTTTAGGAAGGTTTATGATCTTTTCTGTAGAAAAATATTTGTTTATGAAATTTAAAACCGACACAGTTGTTTCTGGTGATCCATCTGCTTGCCTTACAAGGGAAACATTATATTATCAGTGTATCTCGTTTATGTCCACATTACTTTTTTATTTGTCTTCCGTTTTATTGAGCCACTACATGGGGTAGGAATTTAATGGTCATTTTACACCCATTTCTTCACAATTTGTGCTTCCTTTCTGTGGTCCATCAATTCAGATGATCAGGTGTCCATGCAGCGACCAAGATATCAGTTACCAGATTTTTTTTTTTTCAATTATCAGCACCATGGTGTGGGCTAGGGTGCTCACAGGTGGGGCTTGTAAAATAAAAGGGAAAAAAAGGAACAACAGCAAAAATTCCTCCAGGTGTCAGAGATCAAAGATAGCGAGGGACTTCCCCTTCATTCCTCCCTATCATTAACTGGGCTTCCCTGCCAGCTGCAATGTACAGTTGGAATAGTTGTGCTCTTCATCATGTGTATCTCCTAAAACCTGAATCTAGTTGAGGTCAGGTGATTTAAAGCATTCATGAAAAAGTCTCATGATTATGAGATGGAGAGTGTATTTGTTGTATTTTATCTGTTGATAGTTAGTAGTGTACATGAAATTAAGGTCTGTGATGTTAGTTTTATGAACCCAAATTGATGAAAGCAGTGTGGAATTAATTACATTTTAAACATCCCATTAGTACTAATATATGTCATTTTCTCACGTGACAGATAAGACCTGAAGATTTCACACTCTGCAGCTCAAATACATTCACCATGTAATTCCAGTTAGAAAATTAAATCACAGAAACATAGAAATTGTTAAGTAAGCAATTTTTGACAATGGAAGAACAATCAACTCATTACATATACCATGTTAATTCTTGCTGTGTTTTCCACAGCACAAACAAATTGGTAACTGTACAAGATTGTTCCCACCATTCTTAGGTGTAAATACCAAAAGGTGTGATATTTAGCAGCCACTTATCAACAGAGTGCTGCTGTTATGTCATCTGCTTAGATCTACTTACATTTACACCTCAATATGTCAGGTTTTGTCTTTTACAGTTAGCCTTAATACCTGGAGAAACCTCATGCAGTGGTGCATGTAGGGAGCCAACTGGGTAGCCTGTTAATCCCTTGCTATGTAGTATGTTAAGCTGTAAAATCATTACTAATCCCTGCTGGCAGGGGATTAGTGAAATATTGGAATATTTTGACACTTACCAGAGCCCTGTTATTACTTAAATAGAAAAATTCTGTTTTTTGTCTTGAATAAAATTTTCTGAAATTGGTAGATCAGATTCAGTGAGTATGTAAATTTGATTACTTTTGGTAATTAAACTGTATTATAGAAATACAAAACAAAATTTCCTGTATCAAGTTCTGTGGTAGATGTCTGTAGAAATGCTTTTAATTTACTTGATAATGTACTTCAGATAAGTTTTTCTCATTTCCTGAAACAGTTACATGTAGATAGCATTTCTCCTCATGCAATGAACAACTACTGCCAAATAGATGAGCATCATCAGATCTGTTATTAGTATAATCATATGGTTTGGTAAATGATGAAAAACATTTATCTATGCAATAATAGCCTCCTTTTAAAGTTAGTTGGCCATAAGACTGTTCAATCATCACATTATTTCCTGTGCACTGAGGCCCTATTTAATGCCTGGATTAATGAAGACTTTACAGGGCCATCCAAACACCAAGATGTTGCTGTCACTTCCCAAGTGACACAGATATATTGTTTTGATGAAATATTGCTTATTATTGAATTCATTTTGACTGTTAACAGTCTCAGGAGGTTTGAAGTAGTGATATTATTTTAGACGTAGTAACATTTTACCCATGTTTGGATAGCTATTCATCTTTATGCCAGAGGATACGTGTCATCGATCAGGAAATGGGAGGAAATGTAGAAGTGATTATCTTCAGAGGCATAAAAACATATTGAATGCCTCAAGAATGAAAATGTATTTATTTTAACACAGAAGAAGCATGATGCGACAATGCATCCTATTTTAGAGAGTTATTGTCCACTGATATTCTACAGATCTTCCTGAAGTGCACTTACTGGGGTTAGGTTTCTTTATTATGGCAAAATCTCAATAGAAATCTCAAAAGGAATATGACAAACAAAAATATTTCTTACACTTGTGGTTTGTTTGTCTGTGTGCTTTGCAGATCTAAGTACAAACCCCTCGACACAGTGCCATTTGCCAGAACGTGGTGCGTAATTGGTAACTGGAGGCTCTTTGAAGTGTAGATACTTAGAGAACTATATATACATCTTTCTCTTTGAGGGCAGCCAGTATAGATCATTGCTTGGGTGGTGGTGGAGACAGAAGTCTACACCTTGGAAAAACTAGGCCCTACTTCACCAGTTCTAAAACTGCATGCTCGCTGGCAGATTAGCTCTTTTCAAAGACAGTTGACTGAGGGTGCATATGTGTAGTGCAGTTAATGTTGGGCGAACAATCTTATTTCATCTTGAGAATCTTTAATTATCCCATAAATCTATTGGTGCATGCAAGGTAATAATACCCCAGCACTGCAGCAGTGCAGCACACACCTAGAGAGATGGGATAATAGGGTTGAATAGCAGTAAAGACCACTCCGCCTTGCTGTCTCGGTCAACTGGGGTTTAGTTTAATGATCCTCACAAAAGTTGTACAGCGACATTACCTAGGTCTGTTCTGCTTCCCCAACTACTGAATTTGGAGGGGTATTGATCTGGTCATAATGAGAGATGCTTAAATGAGATATTGCAAGTAATTTGGTGTAATGTTTCTCAAAACAGTTCCAGGCAATTCCCACAATATACGTATCTTAAGGCGGCTAAGACCCACTACCCCATTGATTAAATGATAATTAGGAAGATGTTGATTCTATCCGAGGTAGCAAAATCCAATCATCTTAACATCTTAGTTAGTTTTAAAGAATCCAGATTATCTTGTCTTGTCCATCCTCACAAGCAACACATTTTTATTTTCCGAGTATTTTGTATCAGATAACCAGGTGGCACGTGTGATGTATGGCCGACCAAGGGGAAGGGAGGCGAGTCATGCTCAACTGAGTCTAATTGAGCAGTATCCCACAGCTAATTACAGTTGTTGTTCTAAGATGTTTGCTGACATAACGGAGTAAATAACATGAACCAGATTGTCTGGGAAGATTTTCTCACGCCTCTCACCTGGTATTAACACTGGGCCGTTCAGTGGTCAGTTTGAATTAATTGATCTAATCTTTTTAGAAAAGCCCTGTGAATAATCAGTACATAATATTTATTTGATAGTTATCTGTTTAATGCCCTTTGAATGGTTCCTCACTATGTATTCCTGGTGAAATAAATGAAATTATTGCCAGAGTTTTATTTTGAAATTGTTTTAGGGGAAAATGTGTTGAGGGACTAATTTAGGATTCCCATAAGGCAGGATATTTCAATAGAAATGGCCAATAGATAGATTTCTGCCCTGCAACATGTCCCTTTTAAAGGGTTGCTTGTTTTAAAAAAATGTACCTCTTTGGTAATTAATACCTCCTACAATCCATTTCAAAAGCACCAAATTTGTGGAATGGAGATTTTGCATATGTACATCGCATTTATTTATCTGTCACCACAGAGTGTCTTTATTATTATTTCTAAATCAGTTCAAACAACCATCAGTCATGGGAACATAAACCGTAACAGCTAATCCAATTTTCTTGCTGGTTGGATGTTGAGTTACGTTGCATCACATCTGTTTTGACATTTGCCACGTCCAAAATTGCCGTAATTCTGCACAATTTCTACCATTTTGCCTTGCCTTTAATGTGCAATTAATGACAGGGGTGCACACCAGCAGGTGCCTGTGAAGACTTGGAGAAAGAACAGTCTTTGATGTAATTCATAAATCAGGGTAATTTTCATGTCTGCTGTCCTCCAGCCTCAGCGCTGACGAGGGAACATTACGTTTGTCATTTGGTAATGTAGTTTTGTTGTGGCATGTTATGAGAGGAAAGTACCTGCAGGCCTGTATCAACTTGGACCACACTCACCTATGTCCTTCAGTGGTTTTGATACTGGGGTTTGGTAGCTAACTTACTGGGCAGCCTGCTGAGGTGAGATGCCAGCAAGGTTGAGCACCCAATGCACACAGTCTGGGCCATATTTTTAAAACAAACAAAAATACTCCCCAGCTCTGCCAGAAAGAAGTAACATCTTCCTTTTACAAATAAGGTGTATGGTGGCAGTCAGCTGCACTTTAACTCTGGGCTCTTAACTGCATTTAGTGTCTGGAGAGAATATGAGACAATTTCATTGGTAAAACTGCCTTAGTTTTCACCACCTGCTTCTCTGTGTATAGATGCTGTAATGGCTATTGAGGAATCCACATGTGGTCACTTCTAAGTCCATTAGAAAAGGGGATGGTTTCAAGGTTTCGAAATTCAATATTTATTTTCAAACCTTTCTACTGACCACCTAGGTTTATACACAGTTGTCAACTTTCTGGCATAAAACAGTTTGAATTGAACAGATAAACCACAGGGATTGGCTTATTGAGATCTTTAATGAACTTTTGGACACTCCTTTGAAATGGTGAATGCTACTTCTATAAAAAAAAATAAGCTGGTAAAAAGCTATTATTTTCTCTTTTTGTTTTGCATTGTTAATCCTCTCAGGGAAATTTCTCACCTTTTGGGATTGAAAAGAAGACTAGGATATTTGAGTTTGATTAATAGTTCAACCTTTGCCTTTAATTATCAGCACAATACGGATGAACACCTTAATATTCATTGGTAATATCATCCAATTCTCTAGGCAGCACAGTGGCTAAAGACTTAACTGGAAGAACAATGGGGGATAATTTAGACACTCATTGATCTTTCACACGTGAGCAGTGAGCATGTAACTATGTTTTACAGCTCAATCCCATCTCTTAATTAAGTGGTAAAACTGCAATTAAGCGAATGGAAATGTAATAATACGATCAAAGACCGAGCAGCATGGGATATGGATATGGTTGAGGATTTTTCCATGAATAGAAAATCATCTTTTGTTTATTAGGGGCTCTTTTTAACAAGGTATTGATTGGAAATATGACAATCTGTCATGTTTCCAAGAAAAAAAACGGATCTGTAAGATATACATCTTTCTTGAAATTGCAATTCCACAAGATATACAGGCTTTAATATGAATTTTTTTCCATAAATTTCTGCATATCTGATATTATTACATTATATGCATATGTTCATTTCTGTTATAGATTTATTTAAAAATTGAACATCTTCAATAATAAACATGTCCTTTTTCTTTCTAGTTCTCATCATGATCGCAGGACTGATAGTTTATCCATTTGGGCTGGATTCCCGACTGGTCAGCTACTACTGTGGTAAAACGGGAATTTTCAATTCTGGGGACTGTCACTTTGGTTGGGCCTACATGTTGGGAATTGTAGGCACAGCTCTAGCCATGTTCTGTCCATTCCTAGCTCAGTACACAGACACTAAAGCCTACGGGCCCGTCTGTGGCATGGAGTCCTATAAACCATACATGCCAGAGTACTCAGAATCCAATGTATTTAGACCTGTGGAGACGGAAATGAAAGTACTGCATTATCACAGAGAGGAAGCTTTTCTATAGCAGTGATCCAAGACTCATTTTGTTACAGTGCGTGGTTAGAAGCAATCGTGGCCCTGTTACCTTGAATTCTCTTATTGAGAAATACCAAACCAGAACTGACATCAAGAAAATGTCTTGTGTGAGACATTGAATGCTTAATCATTAAAAGTTTTTAAGGAATTTGTTTGTGAAAAAGAGACCACAGCTGTTATGTCATATTTTATATAATAAAATCTGTATGTAGTTTAGGAATGTCACAGTCTGTTTTTTTATTAAATTGCTTTTTATAAAAGCCAAACAAGATTTTATGTAATGCAATTGTATAAAATTATCTCTAGTTACTCTGTTTTATGTGCAGATACTTTTTGTGTCTGTATATATTCGAATAACTATTGGCTGTATTTGCCAATTTTACTAAGTTTAGTATTACCTCTGGTAAATATACTTGGCAAACACAACTCACAGAAAAACGGGTATCTTTAACTGATTTTATCAAGTAAAATGTTTTTAAAGTTGTCACAAATTACAGTCAAATGCCAACAAGCAGTGGCCATTTTTTACTCCTTTTTTTCTCTAATTTTGTTTTGGCTCCTGACAAATCACAAGATGTTTCTTTCAAAAGGGACCCCCTGTATGGCACCACATGTGCAAAATTGTTACTGAAACAAATAGCAAACCAGTTTCAAGGAGAAATACTCCAAACTATAATAGTTGAACCTAACAGAAACCCCCCACTGCACTGAAAAACATATCAACAAGCAGTTTGGCAACATTGCTGTGTGCAGCCTGTCAAAATTGAAGCTGGGGCTCCACACAGAAGATAAACATACTCATCCCTTCTGTAGGTGTGGAGTGGCCAATGACTAAAACCTATAGGCAAAACTTGAGATAAACATTTGGACTGTATCAGAAGTACCAAAGGCTTGTGCCATATGGGTATCCACTCTCCTCTGTCAGTGTGGTTACCAAGATTGAATCACTGTGATAATAATAACGAACTTGTAATATGGTTTAAGTGCTGAAGATAAATGGCAGTAAAGCTTAGAGTGAATTTTCGTGTCTCTTGGGGTCTCGAGCAGCTAATTTAATGTACAACTCCATTTTAAACAACAATATATCATCTTTTTGTGAACAAGTAGAAATCCTAAAACTGGGTATAGGTATTATTACAATACTCTAGTCATCATTTAAATAAAAGATTTATTAAACAAATACATTATTGATTCCCCATTTTGCAGCTATTCTGTTAATGATTATCTTGTAATGTACAGGTATTTAGAATTCAAGTTTCCTTGAAAGATTTCAGTTAAATGTGTTCTGAACATGATATTCACCACATTTTTGTGTAATTCCGTCTATTCAGGCGTCACACAGTATTTACTGATCTAGTCTACTTGGTCATTTACCCTGGAAATGACTTTTAAAATATTGATGTCAGTTAATGGACACACTTTGTATGGATTACTGGCAGTAATGTGATGCTACTCTAATTGCTACATGGTTGGTTCTCTGTACTGTTTTCTATTTAAATTACCATCTTTCTTCTGCCTGTTTAAATGGCTCCCTCCAACAAAACACTGACTTAAAATGTTTCCTTCGAGTTGAATTGCTTGAGTGCCCGATGAAATTTACTTCCCAGAGTTGAATACTTGTGAATTGTCAATTGGTGTCCATTGGATGCAGAACCATGTGAATGTCTTTCACAAAAATAAATGAAATACATTCCTGGTATTTTTTTCCAAAATTAAAATATTCATAGCTACATTTGTTATACACTGTAAATGTTCGTTTTTTTTT